CAGCAATAAACACTGAGTTTTAGATTCTTAAAGGTATAATTTTCACTGCATTAATCTGTACCGTTTCCCACAGCTAGAAGGGTGCCATATTAATTTGTTTATACGTTGCTTTATAGGTGGACCAAGTGTTTTCATTATTGTTTTTTAGACTGGCTGTTTATAGGCTCCTCCAGTGCACTGTAAAGTCTTCAGAGTAATAACATTGTTTATTTTTAAGGGACACTTACATTCTCTACCTAATTTAATTCTTACAGCAATTATGTAAATTGGCCAGGACAGGTGCTATTTTATATCTGATGAAACAGGGGCACAGTGAAGTTAGCTACTTATCTGAGGCCACACACTGATCAAAAGCAATGCTGGAGTCTAGGCTCAGGACCCATGCAAGGTACATTTTATTTGATTACAAGATCCCTCTCAAGAGCTAGAAATTTATTTATTATTTTTCTTTCTTTCTTTCTTTCTTTCTTTCTTTCTTTCTTTCTTTCTTTCTTTCTTTCTTTCTTTCTTTCCTTCTTTCTAGGTAGCCTTGTATAATATTCAGCAACTGAATATCCCTAACTTAAAAGGGAGACAGAGACAGAAAGGAGAAGATGAGCCACAGGACTCCTAGGATAATATTTAGAGAACGCCATACTTTTTTTTTTTTTTAAGTAGGCTTCATGCCCAGCCTAATGTGGGGCTTGAACTCACGACCCTGAGATCAACACCTGAGCTGAAATCAAGAGTTGGATGCTTAACTGACTGAGCCACCCAGATGCCCCATACTTTTCTAATTATAGCATTCATTATACTTAGATACATGCGTACTGTTTACTCTCCCACCTCGCAATTTTTATAAGAGCAGAGATCATGTTTATATTGTTCATTCATTGCTATAAACCCAGAGCCTAACATATATAGTATTTGACATACAGCAGGAACTTCACAAAAGTTATTGAAAAAGGAACAAAAATTTCTCTTTCACTGCCCCAAGAAAAACTCAAGCTCTGTGCTCAGCATGGAGTCAGCTTATGATTTTCTCTCTTCCTTTCCCTCTGCCCCTCCCCTCTCTCTTTAATAACAAATGAATAAATCTTTAAAAAAATTATTTGTGTCAGTGTTTTGGAAATTATTCTGGTGACACAGAGAAAGGACATCTGGGCTAGCAATTCTGGAGAGAATAGGCTGAACTATGGAAAAATATATCCTAGTATTCCAGGCCCCTGTTTAGGCATGAGGCCAAAAGGAGCATACAGATACTCACCTGGAAAATTGCTGATACAAATTAACAAGAAAAAAAAGTTGTGGGTTTGTGTGTGTGTGTGTGTGTGTGTGTGTGTGTGAGGTGGCATTAATGCCTTAGTAACTCTAGCAAATCAAAACCTAAGTCTATATTGCCTGAAGGTTAAGAAATAAAAACCTAAGAACAACCAATCACAAACAGCGAATCAGACTTTCCCAAATAAAGTAGCTGCTTAAGTTAGAGTTAGATAATTTCCTTGCTTTGCTTTCCTCTCTTATCTATAAAGTCTTGCCTCTAGCTCCTATCCGTGGAGCACTCCAAACCATTTCTGGTTTGGGGCTGTCCAATTCCAATTGATTTTTGCTCAAATAAACTCTTAAAATGTTTAATATGCCTCTGCTTACCTTTTAAAAGTCCTGTGTTGGTGGTTCATTAGCGCAAATCTCAAATGGCTTACTCAAGACTTACATGTCCTCACTATATTTAATAAGCCCCCATGCCACCCATTTGCCCACAGTCTCATAACCTGTCTTGGGTATAATTTCCTGATAGTCACTACTATCAAACCATTGAATTCTTTAAAATATAAAGTGAAATACAAAAGAGCTCAACTTAATGAAGGCATGGAGTGTTGTGTTCACTTGATCCTTTTGGACATTATGGAATGATCCCTCATGCTGAGTACATGTACATTTGTACTACATTTAGCTTCAGAGATTCAAAGAGCCTAAGTATATAATTCAAAAGGAGTAAGCTACTGGCGTTGTTTGTTATCAACTGTGGTAAGATATGGAGTGGTATGGTTTTCTTTTTCTTTCTTTCTTTCTTTCTTTCTTTCTTTCTTTCTTTCTTTCTTTCTTTCTTTCTTTCTTTCTTTAAGAGAGAGAGAGAGCATGAGAAAGAGCATGAACAGGAGGAGGGGCAGAGGCAGAGGGAGAAACAGGCTTCCCCCTGAGCAAGGAGTCCTATGGGGAGCTCAGTCCTAGGAGCCTGGGATCATGACCTGAGCCAAAGGCAGATGCTTAACTGAGTCACACAAGATGCCCCAGTGGTATGGTTTTCAAATGTAATTCCAAGGACTGCAATAACATCAAACATATACATATTCTTGGGCGCCTGGGTGGCTCAGTTGGTTAAGCGACTGCCTTCGGCTCGGGTCATGGTCCCGGGGTCCTGGGATCGAGTCCCGCATCGGGCTCCCTGCTCTGCGGGGAGCCTGCTTCTCCCTCTCCCACTCCCCCTGCTTGTGTTCCCTCTCTCGCTGTGTCTCTCTCTGTCAAATAAATAAATAAAATCTTTAAAAAAAAAACAAAACATATACATATTCTTCAGGGCCACCTAACTGCTCTTGTTTATCATATGATTATGGATTATAGTTTATTAGAATAAGAGGATATAGCATGGTCATGATGTTCTCAAATGCTGGGCATGCAGTTTTCAAGAACTTAAAAAGAAGGTCAAAATGCCAAGCATAATTCAAAATGTTTTAGGTTTCCAAACTTAAAATTTCCCACATCAACAGCTCTTGTTGTTGCCAAAAGTGCTCACATTCGTGAGAGCAAAGTCCTTCATTATCTGGTCCAAATGTTTGAGATATTGCAAAACATGGTACTACATTATTGATGAACGGTCAAAAGTAACTTAATTGTTGGGGCACCTGGGTGGCTCAATTGGTTAAGCGTCTGCCTTTGGCTCAGGTCATGATCCCAGGGTCCTGGGATCGAGCCCTGCATCGGGCTCCCTGCTCAGTGGGGAGCCTGCTTCTCCCTCTCCCTCTCCCTCTGTCTGCCACTCCCCCTGCTTGTACTCTCTCTGTCAAATAAATGAATAAAATATTTTTTTTAAACAAAGTAACTTAATTGTATTTAAACCCCAGCCACCAAAATGCTCCATCAACATAAAAGGCCAAGACATGTACTAGAATGTACATAGTAGCACTATGGGTCATAGCTCCAAACTGGAAACTACTCTAATGTCTTTCAAAAGAATGAATTCATAAATTGTGGTATAGTCACAGAATGGAATAAAATGAATGATCTACAACTACATGCAACAATATGGAAGAATCTCATAAGTATAAAGTTGAGTAAAGAAGCCAAACACAAAAGAATGCATACTTTATGATTTTATATATGTCAAGTACAAAGACAGACAAAACTAAGTCTGCACTGTTGACAGTCAGGATAGGCAATGACTGGAAGGCAGGATGTTCCTGGGTGTTAATAATGTTCTGTTTCTTGATCTGTGTTGGATACAAAGTTGTGTTCGGAATGTGAAAAGTCATTGAGGTGTATATGCAGCTTAGAATGTGTGTACTTTTCTGCATATATATTATGCTTCAATAAAAAGTTAACGAAAGAAAATTCTAGGAAGCCCATGAAAATTGAATCTCAACCCAGTATAATAATCCTCCATGTCATTACCAGAATTTGTGGGTCATCAATGTGAGAATCAGTCTCTAAATCGAGTAGTCAATGAACTGGATTCAGAACAGTTGTCCCAGGAGCAGGATACCTGATATGTCAAAACAGGCTAATAATTTCCCTTTAAAATCTCCAGTCTCTCTGCTTTTCCCTTCCTTCAGGGATATCACCATAGCTTAAGCCAGGTCATCTCCCACTCTGATTTTAATCTGAGATGGTCTCCTCACCAGTTTCCCAATAGTCTATTCTACTGGTTCTCTACCATTAACCAAAGTGATGTAAAGTCTAAACTAGATCCTTTTATTTCTTGCTTAAAATGCCTCAATAGAGTCCCATTACATTTAAAACGTAAAGCAAACCCCAAGACTTGTGTATATGGTTTGGCCTCAGTCTACCTCACGCATCTCATGTCATGCTGCTCTCCCCCGCTTTCTGTGCTAGAGTCATACTGGTCTTTCTGTTCTTCCAAAATGTCAATTTGTTGCACCTCAGGACCTTTGTCCACTCTCTGCCCAGAACAATCATCGCTTTTCAGGTTCCTTGGCTGACTGACTGATTTCCTTCTCACTCTTCAAGTCTCCGATTAAATGGCATCTTATAAAGTTCTCTTATAACAACCGTCCCTATCTAATGTCAACCCCCTATTATTCACTATATCCACACTTTGTCTATTTCCGTCCTTGACGTGATTCTTGTTTCATTTGTTCGCTTGTTTGCTCCCTTTTCCTCATAAGACTAAGTTCCGTGAAGGCAGAAATCACGTGTATTTGTGTCAGGATTGCAGTGCCAATGCCTAGCACAGTGTCTGGCATACGAAAGGTCCTCCATAAACATAGAAATACTTGTCGAACAAATGAATCGACATTCCCAAGGGACCACAAGATGCCTGTTCAGTCACGAAGAACATTGCACTGTGAGTTTTCCAAAGAATAGCAGTGAAACCAGATGCCTTTCAAGCCCTTCTGCCCAGGCAAAGTGTTGGCATTCGTTCTCGGTTTCCTAGTTGTCACAACGACTGCCCCCTAGCCACAACGGACACACACCCCTCCTCGACAGGCTGGCGATTTACCCAATCTCCCGATCCCACCCACCTCCCAGGCGCCCCTTCATTGGCCCTAGCGTCAAGGCCTTCGGGGGGGGCGGGATGTCACCTAGAGCCGCTACTGGCTCGGGTCGACGTCCCTCTACCGCGAGCTGCTAAAAGTCAGCCAAACCAAATTGCAGTTGCGGGGAGGCTCGTTCCTGTTGGACTCTATGATTGGCTGCGACCGGGGGCCTGGGCGGCCGGCGCCCGCCTCTCCGAGCGCGGATTGGCCAGAGCTGCCGTCAGTCAGCCGGAACAGACTTCCCTCTCCATCTGGCTCACTGCGGGCGAAAAATTCTCGAGATTTTCCAGCAGAAGAGCCAGTGGCTGTGCTAGCTTCTCGCTCCAGAAACCAGAAATATCGGGGAAGGCAATCTTATTTACCCAGCAGGAAAGTCCCTTCCCCGCCCTCCGTTAATTAATTAGAAAATTTCCAGGGACGTAACCATCGCGAGGTAAGAGCCTAGAGAGTGCACTTCATTTATTTCTAACAGTTTATGATATTATTTATAGGCGGGGTCGCATCCCGCGCTCAGGGTCTGCGGAATGGAGATTAAACGGAGAGTTAGGGAGGGAAGGGGAAATGTAGCTTTAAATCCCCCAGCCCCACAGTCAGCGTCTGGGTTCTCTGTGCGCCGCTTTCTTCTCTTTGGAGGTCATGAGTAGCATGTCCTGTCGGGGCCCACCCCGGCTACCCTGCAGGCAGTGGGCGTTTCCCGCCGAGACCCCCGCACGCGGCCTTGAACTTGACTGCAGGCAGGGGCGTCACCATTGCGAGTGGAGTGGGCCGGGGTTGAAAGTCAGGAGGGACCATGGACTGGATGGTGGAAAGGGCGGGGGCCGCTCGTTCGTGTTTCTCCGTAGGGAGGATCCGGGTCGCCCTGCTCGCACCCCGGACTGGAGGATGCTGCAGGGGTCAGCGTCGCGTCGCCGCTGCAGATGCAGCCGGGGTGAGAGAGATGTGGCGACACCCGAGATCTATGCGGGGAGAGGGTGGTTGGGAGGCGGAGACCGGGCGGCGGAAGGTGCTGGAGGGAGCCCAGCCATCTGCAGCGCTGCGCGGGCGGGAGGGTTTCCTGCAGTGTATCACACTGGCTACTCATCTGTCACAGCCAGCGAGCGAGCCCGGGATCCTGAACTGTCCGAGGGCGAGCGTTTCAGGGGACAGGAATAGAGCAGGATGCAGAGCCCTGGTTGGTGTCCATCCGAGGGTGTGGGTTTTGCTTTGCCAAGAGAGGCCTTGTGGCTGGTGATGGGTTTTTTTTTTAGCAATCGCTTCGTGTAGATGAGAGATTTCACAGGAGGCGACAAAGACGAGAGTCCGGGTGGAAATAGCCGGGGAATTTGGAGTCCCTAAAGCTCCACTGGCCTTTCTGAGCTTTCTGAGCCTCTTAAGCCCTTTGCACCCATCCTCCACCATCCTCAAGAATGAGATTGTCGCCGGTTTCAGAATGAGTGACAAGTGACGGATTATAATGGTCTTGAAGAAGAGTAGTGATGTTGTGGTATTAGAGGAAGAGAACAGGTGCACCACTGGGTAATAAAATAGTTATATTTTTGAGTAGTGAGTTCTTGCTAATGATTTTTTTCTTGCTACCAGAGTCACTTTCTATTGATGACCGACACAGGCACCTCCCTTGACTAGAATCTTAGAGAAGAGGAAAGAAGAGGGGAGATGTGCTGTTGATGTAGTATAGAATGTCAAGGAAAATCCTTAAGGAAGTATAAAGGTGCAGGTTTGGAATGTGGTCTGTGAGTTGTATCCACATTAATGAAGATGTTTTAAAAGATATCTATGGAAATAGAACAATGAATACTTTTCAGGACTTTCATTCCTCTATTCACACATCTAAACATGTTCACATCAAACCCAAGGGGAATCATTTGGGGTTTTTATTGTTGTTCTTTCCCTCATGTAGACTATTAAAATTTGTTTCCCTTCCTCCCAGCAGAGTACTGATAAGATATTGGAGTCCACATTTCCTGAAATACTTTTGGGAGGTTTCCATACCATTTGAATTTATTAGGATGCATTGGTTGTCTTTAAAAAAGTTGATAAAGAAATATTTGCTTTGAGAATATTAAAATTATCTGTTGTTTCCTTTGCGGAAGTTACTGATGTGAAGATACCTGAGTGCTGCTTTATAATGGGCAAATATGAATATTTTCTTAAATATTTTTGCTGGAGAGATCAATCTAAGAAGTTTCTGTAGCACTGAACCGTAGAACGCCTGAATGATTTTGGCATGCACTTAAAATTACAACAATAAATTGCCCTTTTGATCTTTCAGCAGTCAACAGTTCAGCTCAAATCCCAAGTGTATCCTCCTGACAGAGACAGTGAGTGACTCTCTTATCCAAAAATAAATTTGGACAGCTCTGAGATATTTAAACCATTGAGGGATTATAAAATGGGAGTGATATGAAGATGCAAAATTGGCATAGCAATCTTGTAGCTGTAAATTGTGGCTTTTCTTCACCACCTTTTATTTTTAAATCAAGTATGTACTTCAAAAGTTCACTACAAACCAAACGCATTTTTTTCCCTTCCTGATGCATTTCACCTGAGATTTCTTACTCTCAGGATGTGGGTTTTCAGCAGTGCCCTCACGCAGAATCTGTGCTTACTCTTGTGGTCTCCGAGCTTACTTCCAATTTAACTCTCTTTGCTGAGAATCCCTCCTGCTAGTCAGAATTGTTAAACCAGGTGCCAACATTTTTCGCTGGTCAAGAGTTCTGTGTCAGGACTTTCAAGTATCATATTAAACTGTTAAAACATTAAGGAAGAAGATGGAGAAGGCCTGGTCACAAATCAATGTGAAAATGATGAAAAAGATATTTTCAGGCATTTATTTATTGACAGTATGTAGAATATATAGGGTTTCTGTGTGTGTATATATATGTGTGCATACTCACACATTTTTAAAAATTCATGTGATTAAAGTAAATTTGTGGGTCCTGCATTTATATTATGATTGGGAAATAAAAAGGGATTTGGAAAAGTTTGGTCTAGAAGGAAGATTTTCCATTTTCTTTTTCCTTTTGGTATATGACTATCAATATAGTTTAGGTTGCTGATATAAATAACCTGTCACTAGGATTTTAGCCAAGTTCTTTATCTTTATTTTCTTGCTTAGCATAGTTTTTGCATTTTATTTTTGCTAGTTGAATATGATGTGTGGGTAGTGTGTTCTTGTGCTCTTAGTTGATTTAACTCTTGCTCTGACATTTTTGTGTCTTCAAACGGCTTTCAAGCAGAATTACTTCTGCCCTTTGACTCTTTTGAATGACTTTTACTTTCAAAGCTTGAATATAAATGTTAAAATGGTTTACAAAAATAAGCTAGCCTTAGGGTGCCTGGGTGGCTCAGTCTTTAAGTGTCTGCCTTTGGCTCAGGTCATGATCCCAGGGTCCTGGGATCGAGCCCCGCATCGGGCTCCCTGCTCGGCGGGAAGC